ATCAAATTAAAATAGGAGGCAGAGGACGTTATTTCTAGTAGTAGTGTAAATTTTATTAGTTCAAAGTTCAGAATATTTGCAAGTGTATTAACTATTAATGGCATATATTGCAACAAAAAAAAATTATAGGTCATTCTAGCCCAAGATTATAATAAATATTTTAAGAAAAAAATATAATAAATAGTTGATAATACTATTTGAACACTTATTTAGGTGTGTGTGTAATAAAAATTATCACATTAACTTAACTCCTTGCGAGTTCATACAATATTCTAGTAAATATAAAAATGATAAAACAAAAATGCAACAACATTGTATAACAATTAATTATGGAGAATTTCATTCATATTTACCAAATATAATAATAAACTACTATATCTGTATGTAAATTGTTTGAAAAATGTAAATACTTTGTGTATTATTCTCGTATTTTCTCGTATACATTGTTGTAGCAAAAATTTTTTAAGGCCTTTTTTTACCGTATGAAAACAATAACAACCACCTTGTTTCGTTGAACTAATAATTTGATCGATAGATACACAAAAATTGTTTTTTTTATACAAAACGGAGCGTATACTTTTCAACCATTGATCTTAAAATTGCTTTCTTAAAATACAGCATACTTGATGCTTTACTCGTGTCCTAAAAAAAAATTTGATTCTTTGAAGTAGGCTTCGAATGATACTTATAAAATATCCAATTTCATACACCCTGTACAATACAAAAACTGTGCAGATTCAGTATTTTTGAATACTTATTGAATAATGAAGCCAACCCCCTTTATATTCAGTTCCGTTTCACTGTATTGTATTAGTTGTCCCTCACAATAAAATTAGATAAAAAAATAATAAAACTCGAAAATATTGCACTGCACAGAAGACCTGCTAATACACTGTTTTCATACGAAATGCCTATCCCTGTCATTTGTTTTGATTTAGTTCATAACTTTTTGGACTACGTGTATATAGGGCGTCCGAACTTTTACTTTGCGGTCGCTTAAATAGAAACATTTTTTTTTCTAATAAGCACTATTGAGTATTAAAAATTTTACTGAATTACCCTGAAGTTGAGAAATTCAAATGACGAATTTAATTAACTTTTATTTGAAACTTTTTCCATCAATCACAGTAGAGTATAGTAAAAAGATGTCATCTAAAAGCTAGGTCGCCCTGTATATTACAATGCCACCGAGTAAATGATTAAGAACAAAAAAATACTGCAAAAAAAAGTTGCGCGATACATCAGCGTAATGTTTACCGTTTACCTCGAAAAAATCTTTTTCGGGTGCCATCAAATGAGGAAACTTTTTGTATTGGGGATGTCCGGGTACGGGCGAGCACGTCCGGATTGTTAACCTTGATAAGACGAGGGCATTTATATGTGAGCGGTGAACCGGACAATCTAATTCTTAAAAGCGGACAACAAATTTCCTGTTACTAGGGATACGCTCACCTCTCCGGTACAATTGAGATCACTTACTGGATCGAAGGGGACGTCGAAAAAAATACCCCAATTCCAAATGAAATTAAACGTATTTTTAAACACCTACAAGCCAATAGTTGATTGTTTATTGTAGTATGCAAGGTAAATTATTTCCAAACTAAACGATTTCCGAAACATTTAGATTTTTTTCTGTATAGTTTTATTTTTCCTGTATCTAACTATCCTAATTCTTATGATGCACATTACAATTACTAGTCTCAATAACAGATTTAATGGAAAGCTCGATGGAAGGTCATTTCAACAAAATCGGGCTCATGTTAAACACAATACATTTGTTTGTTTGAGTTATTACCCATAGAGCACCAGTCCGTTTTTAACTATAAAAGGATAATACCGTTTTGTTTATTCAACAAAAATTGCGTCAATTATTTTACAGTCCCCTGTACTCATTTATTAATACAACTTGTATCGCTTGACTTTTAGAAAACAACGAAAGGATGTCCGTGCAGTTAATTAACCATTTTGTTAAACACAAAACGTTATTCAGTCACACGAAAGAGAATAATAAATATCACCCGAAGCGGCTCATTTTACCCCTCAGTGAATAATTGAAAAAGTAGTTTAGGAAAGACGATGGCAACAATAATAATCAGACGGACCGCTGTGGCTTTGCGGTTTTTACAAATTTTATACTTAGCCTTTTTTATCCGTAACATGCCACGTCATTCTATAAAAGCAAATTAATAAATGTAACGTATCCACCATAGGCAACCAACTTTACAGACAACAATTGATCTCATGATTTTGCTCTTTAATGAATTTTTACATGTTGCCTTTCTTTTGTTTTTTGGAACGTTTTTTTGCAATTTTTTGAGTAACTGATGCTATTCTGGATTCTATGGTGTTAGAAGAGGATATCGATCTAGCGGTCAGCAAGAAATTTACTATATGTGCAGCGTGTTGCAAAATTGAGTATCGTTTCTGCGCAAGCCCAGTGACACTGACTAACTGCTTTTTATCAATGTTGTGGACTTGCTACCTGTTTTTTGTCACTCATTCAGAACATTTATTAGGAGTCGGCTTATACGAAATATGTTGTGCAACGTAAACATGAAATGGGAGGAGGATTTTTTCGATGGCAGAAAGAAAAGGCTAGGTGAAAGCAGGTTGTATGAACCATATTGTTTATTGACTTATACTTGGATATTCGGTTTCGATAAAATTCGTAACATGACGCGTTGTAGGGTTCGTCGATACTCATACATATGCAAATTTGACACCCGAACAATGTTGTGTTCGGTTAAGAATTTGAGATTTATACTTTTCTTAAAAAACTTTATTGTGACACTCGGCCGACGTATATATAAGATTTAAAGAACATCAGATAATGATGATGGTTATGAAAAATTTGATAAAATCCTAATCCGAAGTCAGATTGGGAAGATATTAAAATATGTATTTAAAGATACAATAATGACGTAAAATATTTCAAATCGAATGTTTTGTGTCTTTATATACAGTGCGTAAATATTTTACAAATTTGCTAATCATGATGTAAAATCTCAAATAAGACAAGTTAAAATAACTGACCAATTTGTAAAACGTTAAATAAGCATTAGTAGTTATGGTTCTTTTTATTTTCTACGCTTTGTTTTTGAGTTAGATATTTTATTCTCGGGTTTATTTTATATGTTCTATTAAGAAACTGTTATGTTATTATATTATAGTATGTATTGATATTGTATTATGCAACAAGTTTGATATACGCCACTTTAGTCATGAGTTTGATTTGGTACGAGCGCAGCGAGTGCCTAATGAACCTATTATTTATTATTTATAGATTATTATATTATTTATAAATTATGTTGTGCTAACTAACTTCTCGTCTGTCTAAAAAAAACGGTGCAATTATATTAAAAAAAGAGAAAAATGTTTCTATGTTATATATCTTTCTGTTATTTAAAATAAAGTTACAGAATAGCGGTATATCCTATAAAAATACGTTAATTCCACGTGGACTCATTGCAATCATGCGCCACCAAATAAATTAGATACTCCAAGGGATTATAGGAGGAAACCCTATCTCAGCTTAAGCTCGTGCACAATTTTTATCGACCGATTCGAAGTAAAAACGACGCTGAATATTGTACGCCGAATCAAATTAATTGTATTAATCATAATGGTCGAATTAAATTCAAAATTTCAAAACAACTTTCATTTAATCAATCTTTCCTTTAAATCATTGAAAACAGTACAGTAATGGGACATTTTAATTAAAACGTACACAGATGCGCATCTGCGTACAAATAAATGTCAATCATTGCTTTGAATTGAAATAATACAAAATCGCCACACTGATCGAATGAATCAAAATAGACCGGATTTACCTACTGAACAGAGGTTTTTATGCGTATTTACCTCGTCTTGATACGTGAGCGAGCTTGTTTTCGAAGTCGGAGGTAATTCTTAAAAGTATACATTTTGGCAAAGTTCCCCGACCCTTTGTTATTTAACAAAATTTTCGGATGTCATACAAATGTCAAACTGCAATTAGTTTTGGAGATATAATATAAACTTAAGAAAACATAATAAATTTAAAGTACACAACTTTACTTGACTTCAAATTTAACATCTGCTCGTGTCACTCAGGGTTAACTAATCATTGCCTACCAAGGTAATTTGAATAACAACACATGCCATAAAATTAATCCCTTTCAACATAATCTGAATTTTTACAATTAATAAAGTTATGAGGACTTTTTCAAAAAGCTCAATATTCTAAGAATACACCAACCTATCAAATCCCTGTATAAACCTATTAATTTTTTTAATTTTGTTTGGACCAACCACCCATTATCAATAATTTAAATTGAAACAAATCTCAGGCATCTCAGAATAGGTAAGTTTTATTTTTGACATTCATTTTGAAATTAATTGATTGATTGCTTTTTTCCACAATCATCCACATTTTTTAGACGCTAAGCTGATTTCACCGATCTACTAAGGAAGGTCATTTCTTCATATTTGGTGTTAAAAAGACAAAAAAGTTAACAGAAGCATTTGTTGATATCGTTCTTATCTCAAAGAGTGAGTTTCATAAAACAATTCTGCCAGTGGCTCAAAATAAAATGTATATTTTGATAATTACTTAATTTTGAAGGAACAACTATTCTCACTAATTAAATAAAAATAGAATTTCTTTTAACAAAGATCTCTACTATTCCATTGGGTCCTATAAAGCGAAATAGGCCTTCTAAGCTGTTTTGCGATGTCTTCCTCAAAAAGAAGTCGAAATCTACGCCTACAAAAAGATTATACAAGTCTACGCACAGACGGACTGCATATACGGATTAGCTAAAAACTGCATTGTATTTTAATTTTAATTACGAGAACAAATATTTCTTTTTAATTATGCGACGTGACTGCCCGAGTATTACCTATAGCGAAAAATTTGCTTCGATGTGGTCCAAGACTACAAAATTGTTAGTGAACTTCTTTCAAAAGTTTTCGCCGGTAGGTAACGAAAAAATTGAACACAAAAAAAACAGTTCACTTACTTGGCGCATCAGCCGCGAGAGCGCATAAAATTCGCACCTCAAAAAAAAAGAAAACACAAACAAAAGCTGGTTCATTTTTCCACAAAAATGTTAATTTAGTTCACATCTTGTTTAAAAAAATTCCCATCGATTTTATTTCGAACTTTTTGTCGTGCAATATCTAGCGCAACGGGAGAAGGAAAACTGGATAGACAGGCGCAGGGATATCCCGATCAGACGCGCGTCCTTGGCGTCCGTTATCAGACTAGTTGGCGTCGCGATGCTGGCCCTTTCTAAGCGCTCACGCTTGCGCCTCAAACGCGAAACTTTATCATTGTTTTCTGTTAAAAAAATGCACAGTGTTTTTTCCTGGTTGAAATAAACTTCGGGATTTTTATTTGGAAGCTGGGTTTAAAATTTTAAACGGTGCTGTTGGAATTTGGGTCAACGCGATAAGAACTCGTATCTGCGAAATAATATTATTATTGATAAGTCGTCGGACGGTTTTAATAGCTGTGCGACGAATCTTCTATAAACATTTTAAATTGCTTAAAATAAGAACAAATTTTTGGGGCCTGTGAAAAAAGTGAAAATTGAAATGAGAAATATTAAAGATTTTTTCGATTTTCGAGTTTTTTATTTTTATTTTGGAATCGAATCAGCAGGATATTTTTCCAGTCTTTCAAAAGTACGCTTTCTCCTAGAAACCTCATTCATTACATCCGATGCATACAAAGGACACATGTGACAAAATAGAACACATCTTGCTAATCTATTACTAAAATATATGGAATAACATGGATGGCCAATATGGCTAAACAAGTTTTTTTTTTTTTATTATGTAAATGCAGTTATAGTTGACCGTGATACCTGCCAATTATTTTATTTTCAATAAAATACTACATTTTTATACAGTGAATTTTAGTTAATTGTAATTGCAATCTGTGATTATTAAATTGCGTGCTTTGCAAGCAAACATTTTGGATGTAATAATAAATAATTATAATAAATAATAATAAATATATAATATAATATATATATAATAAATATAATAAATAAATAAAGTTTTACACTAATTTTACACGTTTTAAAATAACACCATTGATTCTGTAAAAAACCATCAGAGCTTTGGACCACGAGTTGACCAAGGACTATTTTTAGAATTATTAAGACCCATTAAGTTCGCAGAGAAGCTTAGACAGGGATAATGAATAAGTAGGTGCCAACAAAAATAAAATAAAATTTTCTAAACGTCAAAAATTTTGGACACTGTGAACGTTCAGTGATTTATTTAGATTCTACGAAAGCATAGAAGCAGATTAGCAAAATTTTCCAAAAATGGGAATTTGTGAATTTCGTAAGTTTTGCATAAAAGCTAAGATTTACAATTTGTTGCCGAGATTTCGTAACTAAATGCGATGAGAAGAAGCTTTTTAGGAAATTTACACTATTTTAGATAACTAACTAATACATTTTCACTCAAATCATACATTTTTATGAAATTTACTAGAATGCCTGTAAATTCCGTAACAATTTACCAACTCACACTTTCATTACACAAAAACTGAGATTTATATTTTTTCTTACGAACTAAAACTAACTAAAGAAGAATTACCAAAACTTACACACACGCACATGAAATATCGTTTTTTAATTCACACTTTTTTTTAAATATCTTTGTAAAATGTCAATATTTTTTTCCGAAAAAAGTATGTATTTCGTAAAAAGATTGTGAAAAGAAAATGGCTTGTAGCCTATCCACGCTGTTAGAAGTTTCCATAACACTTTTTCCATTTTATATTCATTTTCTTAACTAAAATTCATAAATTAGTCGCTAATGTACAACAATTTAAACTAACAAACCACAGTGGTGGAAACAGTGTAGATATAGTAATTAATACGTCTGCTTGCAAAAAAAACGATTTTAAACAAAACCTATACTGTTTTCCACGCTGCACTGAATCGGCAATAATTGTTTGAAAACTTCGTTACTCCCCTTGTTTGGTGTCAAGCCTTTGTGTTTTTGTTTGTGCAATTATTACGAACGTTATACCGCAACGCAAAAAACTATTTTTTTCGGTTAATAACCGGGAACAATATTTAAAAAAATTAAATGTTAAAAATTTAGATCTGATTGCAATTCATATCCTTTTGGATAGCTTACTCCTCATAAAAAAGATTTTAGCCAAGTTAATTCTGAAACTGACTTCCACTTTCGAGACTTGTTATGTTGGTAGACAAATAAATTTTGGAAATACGTGAACCACTAAACTGTAGCTTTTACAACCCGATAATCTACGTTGATTGGAAACCGCTCGTTCCGTGCTGACAGACACGAGTAGCTATTGTTTCCGACGTGACGTAGTTTACTCCGCTTAATGTTAATTTCGTGATTAATCAGTATTGCCAATTTGCGTTTCAATTACCATAAAAGTATTTGCGGCATTTTTCAGTTAAATTTAGAATGTAATTTCAATTTTGTCGGAAGTTGCCAGAAAATCCCTTGTAACTATCCTTTTCTACTCGCTACTCTTAAATAACGGACCACTAATGAAGCGTGGGCAATGTGACACTTTAAAAAAGCGTCACCTTCATTAACCACTTTCGCGAGCCACTTCAGACGTTTCGGTAGATTTTGCTGTCACCCTCGCTGGATGCCTATGATAATGTAAATATTATTCTCCCTATTTCTGGGATGGCTCAAATCGGAATACCTACAGATATATCACTAATGGTAAGAGATCTTCCGACTAATAGGTTCATCAAAATCATAAAAAGTAGGTTTAATTTAACTCTAATAGGTTCTAACTAATAGGTTCATCGAAATCATAAAAAGTAGGATTAATTGTATCTATTAGTTATGGGGTTCCTCAGGGATCCCCTCTCCCCCCTTTATAGTTTTATATTTACGTCAGTTCTCTCAAAGATGTCATTCCATCGCCATTCCAGTATGCTGATTGACATTGTCGTTTACATCCTCGGCTCTAATCCGGTAGAAAATACTGAGAAAAAGTATTGGAAAACTAGTAATGAATAAATTCGCTTTTGAGTTTAATTTAGTTCGGGATTTGTTGTAACACTAACTAATTATCCGGCATTGTATCGACTCCACGTTACGCTCCAATTGGTGTCATTAGTCACCTGATACTCCCGATAGCACTCTCCATTCGTGTGTGTATCCGGAGGCGGTCGAGACACCACGTCGCATCGGCTTGTTGTCTGGCGACCTCGATCAATCCATTCCGCCATATCCTCGTATCGCAAACATCAACCTATCATTTTCACGAATTTATTATCGTCATGTCTGGTGACACGCGTATATGGAAATGGATTTACTATCCGACCCTTGTTTCGCATCGTAATAACATTAGACTGACGTCTGTGCTATTCGGTTATTATCAACCCCGAATGATGTGATAAAATAACGAACCCCGGTAAGATTTGCATGTTAAATTTTTGATGAAAAGTTTTCGAATCTAATAAACGAGCCCTCAGACAACCGAATCCATAGGCATGTATTCATTAGCCTCAAAAAAGCTTGTCTGGCAACTTGGTTCGTAAAGTTAACACCAGAATTTGGCTTCGCTGAAACCGAGATAATAATTATTGTTGTTTACTAACATAGAAATATTAATATTTTGAGAAGTAGTTGGGATAAAAACCTTTATCGAGACCAAAAAAATTTATGGAATGTTTTCAATTTCTAGTTTTACTCTAGCTGCGATAGCTTCACGCATAAGTGGATATCTTCGTTTCATACTTGGAGCAATGAAATTTAAAAGAATGTCGAATTCTAAAATCGCATAACAGCTTCATATGCCATTGTTTGTAGCTATTGATGATTTCTTTTTCAACCAATTTCTGACCCAAATTTGAAAAGAAACAGAAAAAGACGAATTTGGGTCCGAAATTGGTTGCAAAAGAAGTCATCAAGAGCTACAAACACGGTTATGAAAGAGTTATATTATCAGAATGCTCGTGAATATCAAGCTGTTGAGACCTTCACAATTCCACATTAGGTAATGTATTACTATGAGGATACCAATTTTTCGTACTTTCGACTTATTTTACTATTCAAAATCTACAAACTCATTGGTCAGCACTGTGTTAACTCCTGTTTCATTCAAATGAATGGATTGGTTCCCATACTAGCGGCGATAAACGAATTTACCATGATTTGGTTCAGATAATCAGAGACTGGGACAAAAATTTTGACACCGAGACTACCCTGTTTCCAATTGCTTTAGTTTAATTTTTGAGTAGTTCAGCCCTCAAAGCTCTACTAAGATTTGATGAATTTTAAGGATGGAACTAAGCATTTGAAGAGAGATGGTGACTTAAAACTAAAATTAATATAAAAAAAAGTAAATTACATTAATAATTAGCAGCTATATAAGCTATGGATCGCCATATGCTTTCATTCGGTTCAAAAATACAAATCACAACCACATTTGAATTGGTAGCCGAATTTTTTTTTTATTTTTAAGAATATTGTACTGGGTTTATTATGTTAACAATCTATAAATTCAACTAAAATGAAAATCAAGAATGGCAGAGAACGTTAACAGTTTATGAGCTCTCAAATTTGCGTTTTATTGACGCAAACACCATAATGAACCCATCTAAAATTAAATTTTTGATGAAACGCAAGTTATTGAATCTAATACGAAGTTTGTAAAGCTGATACGATAATTTATGTGGTTTGCTATGATATACCGTAACTAATTTCAGGGCGATGCAAAGTTTTGTCACGTATTCGAGCATTTGGCAAAAACTATATTGAACGTACCAACGCGTGGAAAAATAAATTGCTCTGGACCAGAAACGTGTTGGATCCTAATGGTTCGTATTTTAGATGGTCGCTTTTTCTGCTCCATTTTATACGGACACATGGAATAATTTGCTAATCTTCTGACAGAAACCTTTGAATTTTCAATTAAACGTGCTCCTTTGAAAACAGACTTTTGAAACTGTTCGAACTAAATTAATTAGTTAGTATGAGTTCAACAGTGACAACAAGTTTCCAGTTGTGTCTCTAATAGCTTTGCAAGCCATCATTTGTCTGTCAAGGGAAGATAAAGATAAATATTATTATTATATTTTTTTTATATTTTATTATTATTTATTAATTTTTGAATATATTATTATATTAAATATATAAGATAAAATAGGCTGTTGAATCACAAGTGAGCAAAGTTAATTTTAAACTTTCTGACAAGTGAGAAAGTTATGTATCCGTCAAATTGATTG